TTAACGTTGATCTACATATAGCCTATGACCAAATACTTAATCCAAATTTTACAAAAAGGTACTGTAAACACCCCATAAACAAAAAAGAAAAAATTCAGACTTCATCTCTGGTATGAAAGGAGGGCCAAAAAAATTTATGTGGATTTTCTAGATAGTGGAATGAGCCCCTAACCCCCACGATGTGGTAGGGATAACTATACTTATTGATGATGCTATGAGAGAAGATTCTTCGTCAGTAATGACTTACATGGCCCATCGAGGTCTTCACAATAATAGTAATAGCTAACATTTATATGGCTCTTACTATGTGCCAGAAACTGTGCTAAGCCCTTTACAATCATCTCATTTGATCGTCACAGTAACTCTGGGAGGTAGCTGCTAAAATTATCCCCATTTTACAGATGAGACTAGGAAATGTCTGAGGCAGATTTGACCTCAAGTCCTCCTGAGTCCAGACCTAGTACCATATTTACTTAGATTCCCCTTCAAATCTTAAAAGAGTCTGTGGCAACCCTTTAATTATAGCATAGTGCCTTGAATATAATAGGTATTTAATAAATGCTTGTTTAATTGATTTGAATTAGAATATTCTAAGATTATTATGTGTATATACGTATATATGAAATTTCTTCTCCAAGCTTCTTTGCATATGCAAGAGCTCCATTGTAACACAAGAGTCATTATTATATAGCTCTTTTTTATATTCTGTGCCTAAGACTTCACTGTAACTATCAGCATAGCCTGATGAAAAAGACTTTCTCAGAGAGACCCCTACAACCTAGAGGAACACAAAAATACACAGGAAAAGTGAGCCAGGTAAGAAGGCTCCTCAGATCCTCAATATCTTGCCACCGAGAAGCTTTACCTGGCTCTTTTTTCTCTCCCTCCTTCCAATACAATCAATTCAAGGTCCACAGTATGAGAGCCAATTTAGAAACACCAGAGGCTTAGACTACCCCTGGTTTTATCTATGCCTAAAGACAGAGAAGATGCCTTTACAAAGAATAGATAAAGAGAATAAATAACAAATGCATTTGACATAGGAGAGATGCTAATGCCTTTGTTAGGGCTGTTGAGTGTAACTAGTAACTTCTTGTTTCCACAGCTCAAACTGCTTCTCTGCCATGATTGTGATAACACCACTATCCACCATATGTTGAATGACCTTTGCTCATTACTTTATCTTTGCTGTTTTTCTCTGCCTAAAATACAGTCCTTTTCCACATATATATGTATCTATAAGTGTATGTGTGTGTGTGTACATATACATATATATATATATACATATATGTATATACATATATGTATATATGTTTTGCTTTTTGGTGAGGCCATTGGCGTTAGGTGACTTGCCCAGGGTCACACAGCTAGTAAATGTCAAGTATCTAAGGTCAGATTTGAACTCAGGTCCTCCTGACTCCAAGGCCATAGCTCTATCCACTGCACCACCTAGCTTCTCCTTCCCTTGTATATCTTAACAAACTGTCCTTCCCAGTCCAACTTCCTTCATCAAACATCCTGTCTTCATTGTTTTCTTCCTTCTCTCAATGTATATAAAATTCATAGTCTGTTCCATGAAATTTAACTCTTTAAATCATGGGTGATGGAGTACTAAACAAACCATAACTAGGTGATGACTTGTTATTTAACCAGCATCACAGAATGCATAAGTTTACATCCAAATAAGAATTTATTGCTCCATTGTATCCCGCTTTTTGTGAACGCCATTTGGGGTTTTCTTGGCAAGGATACTGGACTGGTTTGCCATTCATTTCCTTCTCCAGATCATTTTATAGATGATGAAACTGAGGCAAACAGGGTTAAGTGACTTGCCCAGGGTCACACAGCTAGTAAGTGTCTGAGGCCAGATTTGAACTCAGGAAGATAAGTCTTCCTGACTCCAGGCCTTGTACTCTATCCACTGCACCACCTATCCTACTAGAGGATATTAAGAATTATCTTCTTCAAATAAGTCATCTTGGAAGATGATATATGGATTCCAATGAGACTGCCATAATATAGGACATTTTTGAAATGCCTCTTTGGAACTTTCCTTCAGAATCCATTTGTAAACCATGTAAGAAAAATCAGTTTCATAATTTCTATGCCACATCTCATTTTGGGGAGGTAACAATTCACTTCAAAATGTTTTATTGATGTTTTTGTTTTTTTATACTTGGGCTTTTCCTCTACCATCATATAACTTTCATTAATAACAAATCAAAACAAACCAACGTAGCATCTCCTGGCACCTATAGATGTCGTGTCTCTACCAAAAGGGGTGTTTTATCATCTGTCTTCTGTAACTGAAATGCAAACAATGTGTAAAATGCTGATGTATTTTAGTCACACCTCATTTTTTAAAATCAAATATGATTAGCTATTCCATTCATCAGATTTAGCTCTGAATGGACTTTGGGCTGTTGCCAAAAATCAAATCTATCTTGGAAAAACAAAAATATGACATCATTCTGATATTCAAAAGAATGTGTTGAAAGATCTGAAAGGCTGTTCCTAAACAAGAGTTTAGAAGTTGGTTCAAACAGAGGTGGCATCATCTGTTCACTTTGTCTTTGCATCCCCGGTGCCTAGCACAGTGCTGAACATAAAGTAGGCATTTGGTAAATATTTACTAATTTATGACTGATGAAGGATCTGTAACTTAATTTCATGAGACCTCTGGTAAGACCTAGGGCAGTGAGTCTATAATCTGAATCCCAAAGGCATGTCTGGCTAACACCACAACTAAAGCCATTGGCCCAAACAGTTTGGGTGTGTCCTCAAACTCTATGGTCCGGCATTCAAGTTACTGAGTACCATCATAGATGCCCCAGGCTATTTTAGCATTATTGAGCACACAGAGGTGGAAACACTCAGCCAAGTAAGGAAACTTGGCTTCCTGGTAAGTAAATAGGATGGTAGATTTTTTTAAAAAATTGAACACCTATCACATGACTGAAGTTTATTAAATCCCAATCATCCTTTTGAATCTCACAGCCCAGAGGATTCTTGGTCCCAGAATTGGCCATCATTCAGGATATTTCACCACCAGAGGAGACTGTCTCCAGCTAGGGAACCTAAGGTCACTCAATAACTTTTATGAGTCCAAAGAAAGAGTATATGAAACAGCTTAGGGCAATCTAGAGCACAAAGCTTGGCATCACAGGACCTGAATTTGAATCCTTGCCTAAGTCACAAGTCACTTATCCTTTTTGGGTCTCAGTTTCCTTATCTACAAAATGAAGGGTTGTATTAGATGGACTCTGAAGTCCTTTCCAACCCTTTGTCAATGGCTGCATGTTAGAGAGTTCTGGGAGAAAAGGAGAAAATGGGAAACACAAAATTCTGGGATTCAACCAGAGGCAGTAAGCTAGGTCCTGCTACTTAGTAACCAGAGTCAAATGATACCTAAAAGGAGGGGTATAGTCAGGTGCTTCTCCATCACTCAATAATATAGATTATTTTAGGAGAAAAAAAGTTGAATTGGAAAGAGTAGATAGATAAGGAAATGAGTGGATAGAAGAAGAGATAAGGATGATAAGATTTTCCCTAAACCAAGTTTTTGTTTTTTGTTTTTATATTTCAACAGATCCATGTTCTCCTAGGTGTAGTTACACCCTCTACTAGTACAGACTTCAACTCATCTATGCCATCTCATCACATATAATTCTTGTCCATGCCTTTCCTTTAAAAATGATTAATAACTTTTTTATTTTTATGTCACCTTCATTTTCCAATATATCCCCTTCCCCATCAAACCATCTCTCATACCAAATAATTTTTTTTAAAAAGAGTGTCCATGTTTCTTCCATACCCCCCCCCTTAGATCCTCGTTGGGTAGATTGCAAAAATCTATCCAAAATGTAAAGAATTTTGGAGAGCACTACTTGAGCTTTCCATTTTAAAATACCTTGTCCTCATTACATCTACTTATTTGATCAAATGTATCTTGATGTGTTTATGCCATTTTTTCATGTTCAAGTCATTGTTAGTGTTAAGCTGGAGCTTCCTTATCCTTTGTGCTAGACGTGGTATCAGAAAGACCTGGGTTAAAATCTTGCTTCAGGCACTTATTTGTTGTGTGGCCCTGTGGTAAATTAACTAATTTTTCTGAGTCTCAATTTCCTCATTTATAAGATGGGGATAATACTAGTACTAACCTTACAAGTTTATGTGAATAAAAATAGACAATGTATGCAAGATATTTTATAAACCATGAAGTATCATATAAATTTATTATTATTTCAAGTAGTTTTTTACTTGATTCTCTAGGATTCTCTAAGTATATCATCATGTCATCTGCAAAGAGTGACAGCTTTGTTTCTTCTTTGCCTATTCTAATGTCTTCAATTTCTTTTTCTTCTCTTATTGCTAAAGCTAAGGTTTCCAGTACAATATTGAATAACAGTGGTGATAATGGACATCCTTGTTTCACCCCCGATCTTATTGGAAATGCTTCTAGCCTGTCCCCATTACATATAATGCTTGCTGAAGGTTTTAGATAGATGCTATTTATTATTTTAAGGAAGATTCCATTTATACCTATGCTTTCTAGTGTTTTTAATAGGAATGGGTGTTGTATTTTGTCAAAAGCTTTTTCTGCATCTATTGAGATGATCATGTGGTTTCTGTTGGTTTTGTTGTTGATATGCTCAATGATGCTGATAGTTTTCCTAATATTGAACCAACCCTGCATTCCTGGTATAAATCCTACCCGGTCATAGTTATTATTCTTGTAATAAGTTGCTGTAATCTACTTGCTAATATTTTGTTTAAACGTATAAATTTATTATTGATAATAATTGTAATTCAGTTCCTGAAACAAAGTACAAATAGGAGAAAGAGGGAGAGAGATAAAGGGAAGAGAAAAGGAAGAAGGGAACAAGGAAGGAAGGTAAGCAAGAAGGCAGGCAGGCTACAGAATAGGATATGATGCCTATGCTTTCCTCTAGCTGCATGACCGACAGATGTTGCTAAATCTCTGTTTTCTTACTGAACAGGATGTTTCTCCATTCAATGTCGTTGCATGGCATGGAAACTACACTCCCTACAAATACAATCTGGAGAACTTTATGGTCATCAACAGTGTTGCCTTTGACCACGCGGTAGGTCCTAAAGTGGAAGACATCTCTGGGAGTGGAAAGGATGCTTTCCTTTTGGGAGGAAAATAATTTGGTCTGGATATCCTCTTGCAATGCAAAAGAACGTGAGTGGTTTTAGCTGCAGTATAAGTTGTCCACAGAATTTAACACTTGGATTAATGGTAAGTTCCAAAGAAAATTCTAGAACATGGACTTTGGGGTGTATTTCACAAAAATAAGGTCAAAATCTCACCAAACTGAAAAAAACAAAATGTTGCACTTCTTTGGACCACTTTTATGATCTATAAAGTGAGGGAGTTGGACTCAATGATCTCTAAGTTTCTTTCTGGCTCCAATGATCTAGAGTCCATAATATAAACATTTTCAAGGCAGAGATTTGTTGTTGTTGTTGTTTTTGTCTTTATATCAACAGTACCAAGCACATGGCTTATACAGTAAACATAATAAATACTTGTTGAATTGAAATTGTTCAGTGCCATAGATCTCCAGGGTAGCAAACACAAGGCTACATCTCCATAATCCTTTCTTCCTTCCTTCCTTCCTTTCTTCCTTCCTTCCTTCCTTCCTTCCTTCCTTCCTTCCTTCCTTCCTTCCTTCCTTCCTTTCTTCCTTCCTTCCTTCCACTCTCCCTCCCTCCCTTCTTCCTTTCTTCTATAAACATTTATTAAGCTCCTATAGTGAATCTATCAATACTACATTAGACACTGGAGGGATACAGAAAAGAAATTAGATTTAATTTTTACCCTCGCTGAGCTTACAGTCTAATATCAGGGGAAAGACTCAGATAACCATAATACTAAGAAAACATAGTATCTGAGAAGTACAAAGGGTTAGGAAAGTTCCCAGCCATTGAGGTAATGAGATTTGTTGCCTAGTTCATATTAGATTAACTTAATCTACAATACAGAGAGATAACTAAAGCAGAAGGAAGGAGGGCAGATAGAAGAATTGCTTTGGGCTAATTCAGTTATCTTTGTGATACCCAAGCACCAGTCTGAGAAATAACAACCTTTAAAAAATGCCAAGGGAGAAAAGAATAAATATAGCAGCCTTTAAAAAGAGTATCCCTAACAAGCTGGGTAGACTTTGAGTCTCACTACTTTTTCCTATTTAATGGGTTTCCCATATCTAGTGGAAAGAATACTAGATTTCAAGTCTAAGGATCAATGTTTCAACTGAGGCTCTACCGCTAATTCTCTCTTTGTCCTTGAGCCGATCACTTCCTCACTTCTGGGCTTCAGTTTCCTCCTTTGTAAAATAAAGGATTTGGACTAAATGACCTCTAAGACCCTATACAACTATAGGTGTCATGATCCTATGTAATTGTAACTTTCACAACTTTTTTCAGTCATGTCTGACTCTTAGTAACCCCATTTGGGGTTCTCTTGGCAAAGATACTGGAGTGGTTTGCCATTTCCTTCTCCAGCTCATTTTACAGATGAGGAAACTCATCTGTAGGCAAATAGGATAAAGTGACCTGTCAAGGTCACACAGCTAGTAAATATCTGACGCTGGATTTGAACTCAGATCTTCCTAACTCCAGGCCCTGGCACTCTATTCATTACACCACCTACCTGTCCTTTCACAAGACTAAGAGTAGGCATTTTAGTTAATTTTGAAATCATCTCACTATTCTGCACTTGCCTAGATCTCTTGTGGTCCAAAGATGTCAAACTCCTTTACCATTATTTGGACCTTTCTCTCTTTTCTTCTTCCTCTCTTTCCCTCCTGCTTTCTGTTCCCTTGTTATATTTCCTTTTCAGTATGCATATGCCTCTTAACCTCGTCCTCAAGTAGAGCTATCCCTGGAAAAGCATAAATTCCTTCTGCCTACCTTTACCACAAATCTGTAGCTTGTGATCTGGTTTACCTTTTAAGAACAGAGCAGGGATTCTTAACTTTTTTGTGTGTTTTGGACCCCTTTGGCGCTCTGGTGAAACCTAGGGACTCCTCAGAATGACGTTTTTAGATGTACACATTAAAATACATAGGATTTCAAAAGAAAGCAATTACATTGAGATAGATTTATTAAAAAAAAAACTTTTTAAGTTCACAGACTTCAGGTTCAGAGCCTGTGGATCAGAGAAAGAAGTGAAAGAAAACAAATGATACATCACTTCTCAGACCTGCCTCTCTGAAGAGAGCTGAGAAATACTCAAGGATCCTCAGAGAGAAATTGGTTCATCTATACATAATTTCAATATGATTTTCATTTTAATTTTTCTCACCAAAAGCCTCTGGACTGACCCTTTGTGCTATCAGCTGTCCCCTGCTATCTAACTTAAAGTTACCATGTCCTTATTTTGCAGGATCAGAAGAACACTGGGTTCTCAGATCAGTGGGATGTTATGTACCATATGTTCTATAAGACACAACCTCAGTGGGATGAAAATCAGCTTGCGCTTCACTCACATGGTGTTAATGCACCTTGCTACAGAACATAGCAGGGGGAAAATCCAGAGAGGCCTAATCACTGCCATACTCAGGCCAATAGGGCTAGACATCTTAGGGTAATCACAGTGGAGGCAGGATGCCTGGCTTAATCAGAAAACTGGAACATCCAGGAAAACTCATTAACCGCAGCCAAAAGTGACATCCAGAAAGAGAAGAGCAGGTATTTTGCTGAGCACTGTCTTATCGAAGTTGGTAATTCTCCTTTTGATTTTCATAGGATCCATCCATTTTCACTGTGCTGACAGCTAAGTCGGTTCGTCCTGGAGTGGCTATTGCTGATTTTGTCATCTTCCCACCTCGCTGGGGAGTTGCTGATCACACCTTCCGACCTCCTTATTATCACAGTAAGCCTCTTACTTAATAGAGTGCATTAGAGAATGGAGGATACCAAGGGTGAACCAAGTGAAGGGGTCAGGCTTTGGGGCAAAAACAGAGAGGCCGGCACACTTAGAATTAAAGTCTAACCATTTTCTGGAAATGCTGGGGTCATGAGAATGCCAGGTCTTGTCTCAGGAGACTATGTGGACCACATCACAGGGTTCCCATCATTGCTCTCTGGAGTCTTAAAAGGACAAATTCTCCTGCCTGTCTAAAGGCCCACAGCAACTAGGTGGTACAGCAGACAGAGCTCTGGACTAGGAGTAGGGAAAACGGGACACTTACTAAGCCTCAGATGCTTACTAGCTATGTGACCCTGGGCAAGTCACTTAACCTCTCTCTGTCTCAGTTTCCTCCTCTGTAAAATGGGGATAATAATAGCACCCACCTCCCAGAGTTATTGTGAGAATCAAATGAGATAATATTTGTAAAGTACTTTGCAAACCCTTAAAACACTAGGTAAATGCTAGCAATGAAGATGGCGGTGCTGGTGGTGATGATGATGATGGTGTTATCCTTGACTCTTGCTCCCTTTCTGTCTCCTGAAGAGAAAAGGTAGGGAGATTGAAAATGGGGAAGGAAAGCGGCAGCTGGGTGGCACAGTGGATAGAACTCTGGTCCTAGAGTCAGGAGGACCTGAGTTCAAATCTGACCTAAGACACATAACACCCACTAGCTGTGTGACTCTGGATAAGTCACTTAACCCTGATCACCTCACCAAAAAGAAAAAAAAATGGGGAAGGAAGGAAGAATAATGGTCTACTTGTTAGTTTTTTTTTAATTGATTCTTGTCTTGCTTTTTGATGATTCTTGTCATGTCCTTTATAGTGCCTACCACACCAAAGTCAAGCAAGGCAAATGGTAGGCACTTAGTAAATGACTTTTTATTTGGCTTGTTGATGATAGACCTAGGTACCTCTGGAAGAGACGCTGGCCTCTTGTTTTCCCTTTCCCTCAACCAGTTGAATTTCTTTTATTTTTTTTATTTTTTTATTTTTAGCCAGTTGGGGTTCAGTGACTTGCCCACGGTCACACAGCTAGTAAGTGTCAAGTGTGTGGTCTGAGGCCACATTTGAACTCAGGTCCTCCTGACTTCAGGGCCGGTGCTCTATCCACTGCACCACCTAGCTGCCTCTTGAATTTCTACCTGTCCTTTTAAAGCCCAGCTCAATGCTATCACCTCCATGAAGTCTTCCCTGATTCCTCTTCCCCAAGCCAATAATAACCACCCTTCTTTGACCTCATGAAGCATTTTGTTTTGCAACTATCCAGTTTATTTGTCACAAGATCTTGTATAGTTATCTGTGCTGGCATCTTAATTCCCTCCAAGGTGATAAGCTCCTTAAGGGCAAAAAGTGCCACTTATCCCAGCCTTTCACAGAATGTTTTGTACACAGAAGGATCTCAATAAATATTTACTGGTTGGAGAGGCTACTAGCCCATTGGAACTAGTAGAAGACATCAGTCTTGGTGGCTGTCAATCTCAATAAGGTTTACTGAACTTTGGTGCAATGAAGTAGGGTCTCTTTCAGGGTAATGACTCAGCACTCCATGTCTGTTTAGCTTACAGTAGCTTTCTGCTGAAAGTTTATAGGTCTGAATTTAATAAAATTTGGTGCCCTACTAAAACGTAATAAGAAACAAATAAAGTTTGGCTTTAAGTACAGTCCTTCTGTATCAAAATAATCATAGTAGCTCACATCTATATATAGCACTTTAAAGTTCTCAAAGTACTTTAAAAAATATTATCTCATTTGATCCATATAACAGCCCTGGGAGATAAGTGCTATTATTATCTCCATTTTTCAGAGGAGGAAACTGAGGCAGATAGAGGTTAAATGACTTGCCCAAGGTCACACAGCTAGTTAGTGTCTGAGGCCAAATTTGAACTCAGGTCTTCCTGACTCAGGGACTGGCAGTCTATCCACTGGACCACTTAGCATTACTGAGTTTGGCTCTCACAACAACTCTATGACATAGGCATTATTATTATTAGGCCCATTATACAGATGAAGGAGCTGAGGCAGAGAGTAGTTAAGTGACTTGGTTACACAACTAGTAAGTGTGGAGACAGGATTCAAACCTAGGTCTTCTTGATTCCAGGCACTTCATCTACTACCATGCTGCCTCTCATGCTCATTGATACCATAGATATTTCTCCTGTAATTTTTAATGAGTTTCAATTATATTTTGTAAATATGTAATTATATTGAGCCAAATCTACAACTGCAGAACTACTAAGTGAGTTTTACTAAAGACATCAAAAAATATTGCTATAGCAATAAGCAAAAAGCCATGTAACTTTGATATAATTTTAAGGGTGAAGCGGGGAATTATTCCCATAAAAAATATTGCCTCTAGATAGCCTGAAACCACCTTAGCTAACTGAATTCAGCATTAATCAGACAGGCAAGGACTGCTCTCCTGTTATCTGTGAAAAAGCAATGTAAAAATGCCAGCACGAAACCCACTGACACGGACATTTATATTCAGAACAGAGCAGAATTTCTGCCTTGCTCTTCTCTCCCACTAAGCCGTGAAGGTGACCTTCAGGCTTCCCTGGAACAGCAAAGAGCAAGCCTGAGCACAATGAAGCCAGGAGCAAACCTGTTTATGAGTCAACAGCGTGATGTAGCAGCCAAAAAAATACAATTTAATCCCAGGCTGTATTAATAGAAGTAGAATGCCCGGGACGAGATTCCAGTGGCACTCTGCCCCAGTCAGGCCATGTCTAGAATCTCATGTCCAGTCCTGAGTGGCACATTGCAGAAAGGATAATGACAAACTGAAGCAAATCTAGGTGGTACCCCAGAAGGTAAGGGGCCCTTAGCACTATGACAAATGAGCATGTATTGAAGGCTTTGGATTTCAACCTGGAGGAGATAAAACTGGAGGTGTGGGGAGTAGAGAACAATATCACTGCCTTCAAATGGTTGAAGGGCTGTCATATAGAAAAATTAGGTAGTTCTGTTTGGCCCCAGAAACCAAAGGTAGGGTCAATGCGTGAGAGACAAAGGATGGCAAATTTCAGTTCAAGATAAAGAAAAAATTTCTAACGATTTGAATTGACCAGAGGTAAAATGGGTCAACTAAGGCAAAAGTGAGCTCACTGTCACTGAACGTGGATGCTGGATAATCAGTTATGGGGAGTATCATTGAGGGGATATAGAGTGAAGTGGGATTGAGGGCAGGTGAACTCTGAGTTCTCTTCCCATTGTGAGTCTATACTTTTTCGAAGGGAGAAGGATCTCAATGTCATTGGGAACATGAAGATAAGGAAACTCCTTCTACCAATGCAGGTCAGAGTATAGAGGCCTAGAGAGCTCCCAAGAACCCCAAGAGGTTAACCAGGGGTGGGGAACCTGCGACCTCGAGGCCACATGTGGCCCTCTAGGTCCTCAAGTGTGGCTCTTTGACTAAATCCAAACTTCGCAGAATAGGTCCTCAAGTGTGGCCCTTTGACTGAATCCAAACATCACAGAACAAATCCCCTTAATAAAAGTATTTGTTCTGTAATGTTTGGACTCAGTCAAAGGGCTGCACTTAAGGACCTAGAGGGCCACATGTGGCCTTGAGGCCGCAGGTTTCCCACCCCTGGGTTAAATCATTTGCCTTGGGTCGTACAGCCAGTATGTGCCAGAGGAAGAGGGACCTGAACCTTCCTGGTTCTGAGGCTGCCTCTCTAACCATTATGCACACTGCCTCTAAGGCTGCCTTTGAAACATATGAATTTCATGTGAAAGCTTGTTCCATTTCCTACATTCCCTCTCTATGGGGAAAAAAGGAGGGGAGTTGTGATGAGAGTCTCACCTTCCCTACTGTGGCTGTCACACTCCCAGCCTCATGTCGGGTTCTGCCACATTCATCTCCTCAGGGCCTCGAGCAGAACTGCTGCAGAGCCAAGCACACACACACAAAAAAAATGGTTTGGCACTTTGCTAGGACTCACACAGAGAGAAGGGGATGTGGCTTTGGCTAACATTTCATAGGCTTGGTTTGCAAAGCTAAACTTCAGGTGTTGTACATTTCCTTCTGGTTTTGAGAACTTAAGTTTGGATAAGCTGCCACCAAGTGGATGGCCTCACTGTCCAAACAACGAAGCACAGGCCACAGGCAGGATGGACCCAGGCAAAGGTCAAAGTTCACTTTCCCATTTGCAAATTTGCCTCTTCTATAAAAAGAGGGTTCTCAGCTCCAACTGTGAAGCAGAACAACAGCTAATCACGACGTTTTAAAAGATGATATACAATCCAACTGCTTTAAAGGTTCTCCTCAAATAAGCTATCTCCCACGCATATGTTAAAATAATACAAGATTTTATGACAGATGTACCTACGGATATCGCTTTGTTCAACTCACTGACTGTGAGTGCCAAGCCAGGCATAAGCCCTGGAAACATGCTCACCTGAGGTGGCTGCCAGCATCCTGGAGAGTGTCCTGCACAGAAAGAGTCCGCACAGAAAAGGACTTCTATGTGCGTGAGGAGGTTTTCCAAATATTCTTACTTGGATTTGTCATTCATGGGAGTAGCTGCAGTAAGCTCTGGGATGTTACCAAACCTCCTCAGAGAAATGCCTTATTATGCAAAAGAGATCGGTGGAGCAATCCACACAGAAAACCTAAGTGGATGAAAAACCTATATTGCCTAGATTCAATCCCACAAGCTTTTAAGTGCCTACAATGTGCTTGGTACTAAGCATACAAAGACAAAAATGAAACCCTCCTTGACCTTAAGGGGCTTACATTCTCTAGATTAGGATATGCCATTGGTGGGCAATCCATTCACTGAGCTAGTTCATCTCTCTGTCTAACATACATGCATATATATGTATATGTACATACCTATGCACATATATACCCACTTATCTCTATACATATATACATGTGGGTATATTACATATGTATGTGTGTATGTATATATATCTTGGATAGACATTGCAAATGGAGGAGTTCAGCTTAGAACTGAGGCAATAGAAAACTACGTTGGTACCATTAAGATATTAAAAATAATCAAGGGAGATCCCCCAACACATTTAGTGGTTCTTATATGAGGAATTTATAAAATGCATAGAGAGGAAAGTAGGAGGAAGTACCCACACTGATGAAATCATAGATCCAATAAATCATGAAAGCGTAGAATTTAAAGCAAAGGTTAAAGAAATATATACACCTAAGTACAATTAGGCACCTGATTCACTAACCTTTCTTTAGCCACGCTAATTTACTCAGATTCATAGATTTAGAAATGGAAGGCTCTAAAACTATTTAGTTGAATGTCCTCATTTGACAAATATGGACACACAGGCCCAGAATGGTTAGGGATGTTGCCCAAGGTCACATAAAGTAAGCCAGAGGCCCAACCTTCTTACAAAGGTTTCAATAGAACTCAACTTTCAAACTCACCCGGAACATTTTCTTTTAATTAAAGGTTCATCTAATACATGTACAGAGCTACATCTCTGGTGCTAAAGGTTTAGGACTTCACAGTAGCCTTCTAACAAAAAGTCCTTGTGAATGTCTTTTCTGTAGCTTTTAATCCTTGCTACTAATAGCCTTCTGGGAATGGGCTTGAGGAGAGCAGGGACTTCTGAAGATAATGATGATTGTGGTTCCTATCTACAGCTGCAGATATGGGGGAAAGAGCACAGGTGAAAAGCAGAGGTTCTCAAAGTGTGGTCCTGGAGCCCCCGGGGGTCCGATGAGACCCTTTCAAGGGGTCATTGAGGTCAAAACTATTTTCATAACAATAATAATATGTTTTACTTTCTAATATAGTAAATATTGATAGATATAATCCACATAAACAAAAGCTCTTTGGGTGGGGGAATTCCTTAATAATTTTTAAGGATATAAACGGTCCTAAACCAAAATGTTTGAGGATGGCGTATATAGAATAACAGTAAATGACAGTAGGGCTGGGAAGCCACTTTCCAAACAGTTGATAAAAACTGTCCAAAGTGATTTGAGCCAGCTAAGGCTGAAAAATAATAGTAAAATGAGGGTTGGGCAAAAATGAGATTTAAGATCAGATCAGGTCAAATGTATTGGAGAATCATGACCCAAAGAGGAGTTCTAAAGATGTGAGCCAAGGCAGTCTAGGACAGAAAAAATGGAAGAATCATGGTGAAAAGGGGGTTGATAAAGGCTGGAGTTGTGAAAATACGAGATCTTGTCTCAGAAAATCTTCAGGAACAGGTCATGGTGCCCCCAACCATCCCTACTTCCTGGACTCCTGGATGTTTAGATGCTCCCTTCTCTCCAACAGTCTATGGCACTGTCCTTGATTCTCACTGTTTTTCTGTAGCTTCTCATCCGCAGTGATGGGGTGGGGAGGGAGGATAATGGACCACAAGCTGTTAGTGTTGTGTTGTTTTTTTTTAATGATTTTCCTTTTTTGTTTGTTCTTTTTTTCTATCTCTCTATTTGAGTAAGATGGTCACCAAAGGTGCCAGGTCAAAATCAGAAAGGAATAAGATAGCATTGTGACAAGACAGGCAGGTGGCTATGTCTTGTAAGAAGTTAGAAATATATGACTAGAGAGGAGGAGGAGTGGAGGTGGAGATTTGTGAGTCATCCCCACTGAGGTGATAGTTGAAGCCTTACAAAGGCAGATGAGTTCACAAAGATAATGAGTGAGTGAAGATATAGAACTGAAGAGACTTGAGGACAAAAGGTTGGTAGGTGAAAATCCATATTTGGGGAAAAAAAGATGGAGGTTGGGTAGTAAGCAAAGGAGACCAAAAAGCCTTGGCAGAACAAGGAAGATTCAGTGTCATGGAAACCAAGTGGGAAGAAAGTTTCAAGATCAATAGTTTTAAATGTTTCTGGACCAATAGTGTGAAAAGTACGGTTACAGCTCAAGTTTTATTTTTTATCAATATTTCTTGCCACAGAACGATTTCCTTTACACTTAGCCTCGTTTCTTTAAGATCTTACACCTGGGCAAATTCCCACCTACCTCAGTAGAATGTTGGGTTCCAGGACGAAGCCCTGTGATCTAGGTTCGAAGATCTAGAGGCCATCTAGTTCACTCTCCTAGTTTCCTAGATCAGTAGACAGAGGGTTAAGAGAAGTTAAGAGACTTGCCCAAGACTACATAGGTAGTGAGCATCAGAGGCGGCATTTGGACACAATTCTTCGTACTCCAGAGCTAGAATCTTGTCTTGGTATTTCCTCCCCAGTATTCTATTCATTCTCTAAAGCCCACCCTCCCTTCTCTGAAGTATTTTGGAACTGTAGGTAGTTTCAAGCGCTATAACTGTTTTTCTTTATGTTATAAAAAACAAATTTCAAATCCCCCTAGGGAACTGCATGAGTGAATTCATGGGGTTAATCAAAGGTCACTATGAAGCAAAGCCAGAAGGATTCCAGCCTGGAGGAGGCAGCCTACACAGTGCCATGACACCTCACGGCCCAGATGGGGATTGTTTTGGGAAGGCAAGCAAAGCCAAGCTGAAGCCAGAGAGAACTGCAGAGGGAACCATGGTAAGCATGTTAAATCCTAGTATTATCGTTCAATCAATCAATCGCCAACTTCATTGTTCATCTCCCCAAAGCCCTGAGATCATTAATCAATCAACAAATACTCATTAACTACCTACTGTGTGCCAGGTACTATACTGGGGACTGAGGATACAAACACGTGAATGAAACAATACTTAATTACAAGGAACTTATAGACTTTTATGCCAATGGGGGAGACAAGTATATGTATGTCTATATGTCTGTATGTATGCATGTATGTATGTGTGTATACATTATGTATATATACACATGTATATATGTATGTGTATATGTTGTTTGTCCTTTGTTCTCAAAGAGGACCAATGACATCAGGAAGGTGATGTCTTGACTTGTAAAGAATCAGATTTAAGTGAGGCAGGGCTGTACAAAGTCACCAGCCTCACTTTTTCCTTCAGAGACATCTGGGTCCAGTGGCAAAATAGAGATCAGGAAGACTGGAGATTGCCCCAGATGCAGTGGAAGACTTTGACCTTTTTAAGCTAAGGTTTTTCCCAGCTTTTAGTTTGTCTGAGGCAATGCCTGGTTTCCAGAGCTATGTTTCAAGAAATTTATATTCCTTGTGAAATCTTTCCCAGACCTCAGTTTGTCTGAGGTAACACCCATTCAGTGATTAAGGCTAGGTTAAGAAATGAGGTAAAAAAAAATGGCCTCTTTCACCTACAAAAAAAAAATCTATGTGTATATGCATGTATATATAGATATGTGTGTGTGTCTTCTTGCATCATACTTGCCACTATATACTCTTCGATCCAGTGATACTGGCCTACTAGGCATTCATGAACAAGACACTGTCTCTTAGCTCCAGTCATTTTCTCCAGCTGTCCTGCATGCCTGGAATGTCCTCCCTCCTCATCTCTGTTTACTGACATTCCCAGCTTCCTTTAAGTCCCAACTAAAATCTCACCTTTTACTAGAAACCTTCTCCAACCCCTCTTAATTCTAGTGCTTTCCTTCTGTTAATTATTTCTTATTTACTCTGTATATAGCTTGCTTTGTATATATTTGTTTGCACTGTCTTTTGTCTCTTTCTGTATTGCTTGTACTTAGCACAGAGTAGGCACTTAATAAATTGATTTATATCTATTTATGTATGCTAGATATGTATGTAAATAAAATTGTATGTATATTTGTATACTTATACACACATATATCTATATATGATAAATATATGCAAAGTGAGGGGTTGGAGACCCTTCTACCTCTTCTCTATTTTGCCATAGAGTAGAAATAAAAGAAGAAATAAGTATTATTTCAGTTCACATTTTTCGTGCCTCGATCTTGTCTCCCTAACATGGGAGGAATAAGACAAATTTTCAGACATGAACAATGTGGAAATTTGTTTATGCATATTTATTACAAAAACTTTCTTTTTTTTGTCTTTTAATTTTAATGGAAAGTGGGAAGTGAGTGGAAGAGAGAAAATAAATATGAAAAATAAAATAAAGTGAGGAATCATTTTATGATTAACGTGATAAACATAACAGTTATGATTAACAACAAGCCCCTTGGGGCAGCTAGGTGGCGCAGTGGATAGAGCACCGGCCCTGAGGTCAGGAGGACCTGAGTTCAAATCTGGCCTCAGACCAAACATTTGACACTTACTAGCTGTGTGACCCTGGGCAAGCCACTTAACCCCAATTGCCTAAAAAAACAAAAAACAAAACAACAAGCCCCTCAAAGATGGTGAAGGAGGGTGTAAAGAGGGGAGAAAGGAATGGAATTGGTGCTGAGTACAAAGTCTCAGATCAGGAGAGGGGTGCCCTTTCTGCTGAGGATCCCAGCAAACTGAGATTAGGTAGATGATGGATCTCTCTGTAGGAGTGTGGATGGCGTAATAACAACTGGCTCAGAGATGTAGATAACAATTTGAGATCATGGGAGACCCTTGCTAGGTGGTAGAGTGGATAGGGAGCTGGCTTTGGAGTTAGAAAGACCTCTGTTCAAATCTTGTCTCCAGGGCATTTTAGTTCTTTGACCTTGGGCAAGTAATTTAACTCCTCTGAGTTTCAGTTTTCTCAACTTTAAAATGGACATAACAATAGCACCTACCTCACAAGGCTGTTGTGAAGGTCAAATTATTTATGTGTGTGTGTGTGTATATATATATATATATATATATATATACATATATATATATATATATATATATATATATATATATATATATACATATATATATACATATATATAAACACACATGCATACACCCATATGCATGCATGCGTGCATGTGTATGAATGTATACACACACACATACGTATATATATATATATATATATGTATGTATGTATGTATGTATATGATCAACTCTCTAGTCACTAATGACCAAAGAGTAACATAGGTTTATAGGTTTTGCAACCACTGTTAACTCCAAAAATACCAAAGAACTCATCAAGTTAAAAGCAAAAGTCTTTCTTTATTCCGCTGGGGGACAGAAATTAGACTCATGTATCGGGGCCTTCTGCAGTAGGAGACCCAAGGCAGTGAGGCTAAGCCTTAATTTCCATATTTGTGTCTAGATAAAGAATCAAACAGTGCAGTGTAGCAACACTGGTGAGGCACAACAGCAACAGTGAGGCAAGGTTGTCTAGTGACAAAAAGTCCGTTCACAGCAAGGCTTCGTGTCTGGGCTGGTTGGAGCTTGCCTGAGCTCAGGGACCACCAGTTCTGTGATTTTGTTGCAGCAGTGATCATCCAGAGGGTGAGCACAAAAGATTATTGTTATGCCAAGCTCAGGGCGCAGCTTGCTTGCTAGGCCTTAACTCTGGAAAACAGGGTTTCTAAAAAGAGAGGAGTGATCTTGGATCCTGACAGTATATATGTGTGTATATGTGTATATTTATGTCTTTGTAAATGTTAAAGTGCTATATAAATGTTGGTTTTATTATACTATACATGATGATAGATAAGACTGATAACTGTGTTATTCTGGGGGTCTAGCTTCCATTGTAAAAAAAAAAAAAATCATTTCAACAAACCAGTTAACTTATTGCTAAAACCCCAGGCCCCAGAAATACAGCCTTTTATCTTTAGAAGGACAGGAATAAGGATCTAAACATTTTTAAAGGGCTGAATCTTGAAAGAATATGAAACTTTTCCCAGCTTAAACTGCAAGCTCCATCAGCTGTCCCATTTTTATTTGTTGGGGACAGAGAGAAAAAGAACTAATGCTCAATTAAAGGCCTTCTTGAACTTCCTCCCCCCTCCCCATGGCCCAGAGCACTTAGTCTGTCCAAGTCTCTCCTCTCTCCCTGGCTTTTTTTAGGGCAAAGTAAGCTCCCAGGACCAGGGCTATAGTAAAACAAAATGGTACCTGTTGACTGTGTTTTTGAACCAGGGAGAGTCCAGAAGCTCCTGCCTCATCAAAGCCTGAGCTAATGAACCACATTTTCATTTGCATTACTTTTCTCTCTCCTCTGGTGTAGAAGAAAACTGATTGGTTCTTAAAATCTGTTGAGCATTGCCTGCACGCTGTGCTCTGAATATTCAATTAGAATATAATTGCAGTAGTAGGCTGCTATCCTTAATTTTATTATATTTTTGCAGGTAGGGTCTATTAACTATAAGATCTAAGTTTATTCTAAATCATATGCAAATTAGCTTTTAAAAAAAGAACAGAACAGTAAGTTAAGCGCTACCTGATGTTCAAAAACAAGCCTTGCTTGGTAACATATTCACTTTGCAAGTGAACTGAATCATGAAACCTATCATAGGATTCAGATTTTGAGCTAAACCCAAACTTAGTCCTCAGGGCCAGGGTAGATAGACAAAAGCTATAAGGCCCTAGGATGTCAGAACTGGATGGGACCTTAGAAGTCACCTAGTTATCTAGGTGACTACATTACCTTTCAGCATCACAAGCTCATAGCTATCAAGCTGGAAAGGACTTTAGAAGCCATTAAGTCCAGCCCTCTCCCCTCATTTTACAGAAGAGGAAACTGAGGCTAAGGACTTACCCAGGCAAACAGCTAATAAGTGTCTGATTCAGGATTTGAATTCACATCTTTGTGACTTCAAGTGCAATGCACACTATACGGGCTGCCTCATTTTCCAGAAGTCCAGAAAAAGGAAAGCAACTTTCCCAAGATCATGTTGCTAGACAGTGTTAGAGCCAGGATTATCTGAGTCCTAATCCAGTATTTCCTTTACACTGCTGCAGGGGTACAGGGGTGTGTTTGTAAATATTTAACAACCAGCTGGGGGGGGCAGGATGTACACAGGAAACATTTTTAAGAACATTTTGAGGTTTAATCTTCATTATTAACATCTCCATCGCTTTCTTAATTCTAGATGTCCAACAAAACAATAAATGGATTTATAACAAATTTGCTGATTTCTAAGTGTTAAATGCTCACACTGAAAATTTAACAATTGGCTCTGCCCCTTCAAGCCAGTTCTAGCACACTCTTGCTTATGTTTCATCTCCCTCCAGTCTACAAGGACATCTGAACTTCCCAGCATTTAAGTCATTCCCTTGTATGAAAGTATTGTCCGTAGACAGTCTCTGCCTACACCTGAGAAAGATAATACCATTACCATGAGCACCTATGACTTAATAATTAGTTAACTCTCATTTATCAGACATCAGAGTGGTAAGAATGGGACACAGGAAAGATTTTTACAAGAGGTAAACATTCAGGGAGGGCATTGCCATGGAGTACCCTAGGTAATCAGGGGTCAGCAGCAGGGTAATGAGTATGTTAGGGTGGAGATTAGTGGCCAGTTTTGTCTGAGGTTCTCCTAGCCTTGAAGCAGCTGCAGTGGATAGAGTGCCAGACCTAATAAGACTCATCTTGCTGAGTTCAAATCTGACCTCAGACACTAACTGGCTGTGTGACCCTGTGCAAGTCACTTAACCCTGTTTGCCTCAGTTTCCTCATCTGTAAAATGAGCTGGAGAAGGAAATGGCAAACCATCCCAGCATCTTTGCCAATAAAACCCCACATGCAGTTACGTTACACAACTGAAATGACTGAACAATAAATGCCTAGCTTACCCTACTCTCCCTGACTTTAGAATTCAGGGCTTGATCAAGATTGAAGTTGTCACTTGTAGCCCTCCCCACAGCCAACCACACGCACATCAATAATACAGTGAAGCAGCTAGTAAAATGCCCTTCTAAACAGGAGATTTTTAAATTTTGTGTCATGGACCCCTTTGGAGATCTGGTGAAGTTGAAGGACCCCTTCTCTAAATAATGACTTGTTGCCTCCATCTAGAATTGAAGGAGATGCTATATTTTAGTGAGAGGTTATTGAAAATAAAGATGTGATTTTTTTTTCTTTTGGCCATCCAAGTTCGTGGGTAAGGATCCCTATTTTAGACGCCACACTGGATAATAGCAGCTAGGTTGTACAGGGACAAGAACAGAGGTGTCAGACACATTGCCCCAGGGCACAATGATACCATGAACCAGATGAAAATGTAATTGGGAAATATTTAACAAAATAAGTAAAAATGCAATAGAACATAGATAACGTTAATATGAGGTTTTCTGAGTCAATAGCCTTTGGGGATCCTTATACATGGTTTAGTGGCCCCTGTTTCTATTTGAGTTGGGCACCACTGGGCTAGAGCACCGAGCCAAGAGTCAGGAAGACCTCAGTTCAAATCCTAAGATACTTACTAGCTGTGCAATCTTAGGCAAATCCCTTACTCTCTATCTGCCTCGGTTTTCTAATCTGTAAAATGGGATTAATAACAGCATCTACCTCCCAGGATTATTTTCCCTGGGCACATGGATGCCTGCCAGAAGTTAAGGCGAGCTGACTTCCTACTGAGAAGTAGTTTGGTGACTTCCTTTTTCTAGAGGAAGGTGAATCTGTCATTTATTTTCTGGAGTTAGGGCCCACCTCAGGAAATTTTCAGGTTGAATTTCTCCTTGCCCATTACGAGCCATCCCTATCCCCTATTTCTGTCTCTCCTCTATTACACAGTGACTGTTCCCCCTGAACTGCCTTCTGTTTCTTGGGCTTGATACCTCCCACAGAAGTGTCCCTTTATCATGATCCCCAATTAGTTTTTCCCCCACCCCTCTACTTTTCAGCCAGCCAGGCCTGGCAATGTGTTCTACCCCTGCCCTAATTGCCCCAGCAGTAAACATGACAAAAGCAGTATGTATCTCAATTCCATTTATTTTTGGCCCAGGAAAATTTCTTTGGCCAGTACTTAAGTTTTGGGGTGGGGAGGAATGTGAAGTGTGGCCAGGAATGTCCCAATTTCATGGTCTCCAATGGAGTTCTCTCTTGGTCCTTCCAGATTGGTGAAGGTTGGAAGCCAGGTGCCAGTGGGAGCCATGAACTTGGGCATTCTTTATAAGAGCCTTCAGCAAAATTTGGTCTGTCATCAAGCCTGGGCTTTGAGTTGCTAAAGGTAGCAGGAAGCTGCATTTCATCTTCGAGCAAATGGGGCCCAGAAGTGTTTCTTTTTTCTGTGATTTAGGTGGATGGAGTTCTGAGTGATCTAAAACTGCCTTCTGAGGCTATGGGAAAAAGCTGATGGGAATTTCTTAAGGGAAAGGATGAGGGGTTAGTAAGGGGTAGTTTGTCTCCCTCCTTTCCTCCCACTTCTTTGAATCCAGCTTTGGGGTGAAACCAAAGCACACATATAACTTGTCTCTCGTACTCCTTTGGGCTTGATCACAGCCAAGGCTCTAAACTGGAGACAGGGGCTTGTTCCAAGCAGGGGTCAGCTCCCACTGGCTCAGCCTAGACCATGAGAAACCCTTTTCCCTCCCTCCTCCTTCCCCAAACACACACACACACAAAATACTTCGAGAATAAAAATGAGATAATAGTTGTAAAGCACTTTGCAAACCCCAAAATGCAATGTAAATGCTGGCTGTTTTATTATTTTCCTATACCTTAGACTTCCATTGTTGATATTTACCCTTGTCTCTGCCTCCTTTTTTCTCCATTTTCACCAGACATTTATGTTTGAGACTTCGCTCAGTTTGGCTGTCACCAAGTGGGGTCTCAAGACTTGCAACTGTTTGGATGGGAACTACTACAAGTGTTGGGAAACCCTGAGAAGCCACTTCACACCCAAGTTCAGAAACCCCACTGGACATAAATAAGCCTGGAGAGTTTATGTTTAGGGCCCTTCTTGGAAAAGTCAGGGTCTCTGCGTATAGCTATATAAGCCTGTAGTTGGTTAAAATAATTACCCATCCTCCCATACCCAGGTAACCCATGAAAATTAGTGCAAAAGTGTATTGCAAGTGCCATTATTGTAAGCTTAATTACCCAATAAAAACCTACCTGCAGTGTGTGGAAATAACAAACCTAATGACCAGGGTGTGGGCAGTCACAGGATGGCAGGTAGTTTAGTCTGAAGAGAGAAGTAGAAATCTAGCAGGAATCCTTCAAGTCTGGGCCAAAGATACAAAGTAGGGGTGGTGGGTGTGGCTGCACAGCTAGAAGCAGTGGTACATAAATATTTTATAAGCAGTTTTTTGGGGAGGAATGTACCCACAATACATTTTTAAGTTTAATTTGAATTATTAACAGATTATCTATTGCTTTGAATCTAGAAAATCAATAAAACAATAAATCAAGCCCTGACTTGTAGTATTTGTAGATTTCCAAGGTATAATTGCTTACACTGAAAGTTTAAGAAGTTAGCTCCAGCACATCCCTGGCTAGAAGGCTATTCTTCCAATGATGGATGTGAGGCCAAAGCAGAAGCTAAGATCCAGGCAGGGGTAAGACAGATGATCAGCAAAAATCTAAAAGGAGACACACAACTGGCAGCAGCTGGGAAGGACCCAACTAGTGGGAGATCATGGTACGCTAAGACTTATAAGAATGAAGAATAGCAGACAACGCTCCTAAACACACTCGAGATCAAATGGGAAAGAGATCAGAACTACCAATAGACATATTCATTGTAGCTCATTAGTAGAACGTTGGCCACTAGGTGATTTCTTTATCTTTTCTTTTTTTTTCTCCCACAATAGGAGTTGTGTTTCTACAAAGGGACACTAAGGGATTGTGAGCTATATCTCGGAAGGGAATGCCCTCTATGAAAAAGTTTCCTTGATATGTAGAGTATCTTCCTAAGTCTTCCTGCCATTTTATTTAAGTCAATTAAAGCCATTTTATTAAGCTAATTGAAGCTTAAGAGAGCACTAAGACTTTAGGGAAACCTTGCATAAGTATTCATCACAAACATTCATTTACTCTGATTTATATGTGATTTCATTCATGCACGTGCAAATAGTGACCACTCACTGAGGGTGAACATTCTCTGATGAATTCATGAGGTGCCTGCTCAGTACAACCATAGTTCCAGCAGAATACTACCCCCTATATGGTGCAGAACAGAGATATCGAACCCCAGGCCCATGACATTCCTAAGTGAAGTCCAGACCAAATTAAAATGTAATTGGGAAATATTTAGCAAAATATACAAAAATCCAATAAAGCATAGATAACATATTTTGAAACTAAGTCAATATGTGGCCCTCAGGGACCCTTATGCATAGATTAGTGGTCCTCATTTCTATTTAAGTTTGACCCCACTGGTGTCAAGCACCAGTAAGAGAACATGGGTTCCATTTTACAAATGAGGAAACTGAGGCCCAGAGAGGTTAAAGGGCTTGCACACAAGTAGAAAGCATCAGAAGGATTTTAACCCAAGTCTTCATAGTTTAAAAAGTATTCTTTCCATTCTACTATCCTTCTTCATTCTGTCCTCCCCTCTACCCAAATTCATTCATTCTTGAAGTTGAACATCCCAAGTTCCTTCAATGGATCCTCCTCTAACATGAATCCAAAGTTCTCTTTTCAGCCTGGTTGCCCTCCTCTGGGTGAGTTTCAACTTGTCAATGCTCCTTTTAAAATCTGGCCTCAGATACTTACTAGCTGTGTGACTCTAAACAAGTCACTGTAATCACTGTTTGCCTCAGTTTCCCCATCTGTACGAGGGTAATAATAGCACCTATCTCCCAAAATTGTCATAAGGACCAAATAGGATAATATTTGTAAAAGTGCTTAGCACAGTGCCAGGCACATAGCAAGAGCTATATAAATATAATAATTATTATGATAATGTGATGCCCAGAATTGAACACAAATTGGTCTGACCAGGGCAGGACTATGATCTCCTGTGTTCTAAACATTATATTTCTATCAATGCGGGGGGGGGGGGAAGCAAAAATAGCAAACGTTAAGTATATACTGAATAAAGAGTAATATGATAGGAGTCCTGGGGGAGAAGCTAAATTGAGCTATGTCAAAGTCCCTGTTCTTGTGGAACTCAGAATCAAGTAGGGGGATGAGGGATATACACACACACACAAACAATACCCATATTACATGTACCTTGGTGTAGTGGGGAGAGAGCTGGCCTCAGACTCAGGAAGACCTTTGTTTAAGTCCTTCCTCTGACACATAGTAGCTGTGTGACTCTTGGCCAACCACACCTTCAGTGCCCTAGGTAATTCTTTAAAATTTAGGTTGAAGAGAAAGTGCCAATCTACATTAGTAGAGGGAGTTTACTCACCAGTGACTTCCTTTACTGGTGAAATCACAAGTCCAGTCTCTATCTCCTAACTATGTAACACCCAGAGCCTCCAGAAAACTACCCCAGATTCTAGACATTATGAATCCAGCTTGTTGTTCATTCTTGAAGAGGATATCAGGAGAGACATTGTGAATCCAAATCCTCTCCAAACCCCCACCTATGTGTTTACTCTTACTATTCAGCTGAAGAACTAATTTAGTTCATAGCAAATGTTTATTGAAATGGCATAGCAATAATAGAATACCAGAAAATTCCCCAATAAATCTAAAACTTGCTCTTCCTCAAATACAGGCTTTTTTCTGAAAAAGTAAGTTTGCATAGGTTCATTTATGGCCTTATACACAATGAGAACATATATAACCAACGCACTTATGTGGAGGGGCACACATGCAGAGAACATATATGACTAGGGAACACAGATAGAAAGGAGAAACAAGCCTTTAACACTGCAAAGCCATTGATGTCTTCTGGTGATATCACCAAAGGAAAGCTCTCTGCTAGGTCTGCTTCCTATTGGGTATCACTTTCTGTTGCTCCACAGTGGACATCAATTCTCTGTTCCAATTGGTCTTTATCCAGTTACCTTCAGAGTTACCTAATGGCCTATTCACCATCTGCCCAGGAATGCTATGATTGGTAAGCCTCTCCCCGTAAAGGAGGAACACAAGTTTTTCAGCCCTGCTCCACCCCCAACACACAAACACTATGCTTCTGCGATGGTCTTCAGGTGATGTGCTACCTCCCAGGGGCTGTGGTTAATGAGTCTCTCCTGAAAAGGGAGAGAAGGCTACAGCTCTCCTTAATGAGCTCTCTCAGTCAATAGTGATGAAATACTTCAGCTAATGTCTATCAAATGCTCTCAGTTCATGGCAATGAAGGTCTTCCCTTAATTCAGGTTGTTCACAGATGATAACAGATGCCCAGGCCAAGATAACATCTGCTCAATTGCTTAAGTGACTTCCTCAGATCCAAATAGTCAGTATGTTCCTGACAAGACTGGAACCCAGGTCTTTCTGGCTCTGAGGCTGGCACTCTAGCTACTCTGGCTCTTACAATAGTTAGAGAAATGCAAATTAAAGCTCTCAGGTTTTATAACATCCATATTGGCAAAGATGACCAAAACCCAAAAAAAGTCAGTGATGGTGGTGCTGTGGAAAGAAAGGCACATTGTTGTACTATTGTTGAAATTGGCAAGTGCTCCAACTGTTCTGGATATCAATTTGAAATTATGCAAATAAAGTAATTAAATTACTCATTAAAAACAAAAGAAGACTGGAGATGATACTATGAATCTCTATTATGGATAGCTTATTTTTTATTCGTATACATAACAAATGTAACAATGTAAAAACAAAAAAGATAACATCTGCTCTTTGAACTTTTCTTTGAATTATTTTTTTCTGCTGTGTCTTCTGGGTCCCTCAGTCTAACTATCATCTGTTTTTTGGTCAGAGATCCCTTGTAGTCTTATGTCATTTTATTGCCACTTAGCTAGGCAAATATTCTCAGAGCTCTATTTACTCAAACTGGGGGAAAAAGTGCTGAATGAAAACGGTAAGGAAACCATTTTTAATCCTCCTCCACACATTCCTTCGTTCTATGTAAATGACAAGAGATGAACTAGTTGAAGAAGACTACAAAGACTGGTGATCTTATTCTTTCTCCTTTCTTTTCCTTCCATCCCCACAACTCTCCTCCACCTCCCTGCCAATAAATAACAGCATAGTTTCTTTAGATCTGCATTTAAAACAAAATGTTATGTGAAGTTTAAAAGAAAATCAGGGAAGGTCTTCCAGATAAAGTGGAGGTGGAGTTGGCTTTTAAAAGATGAATTCAATGCAATAGTCAAAGAGGAGCAAGGTAAGGCACCAGAGAGAGAAGCAAAAACAGAAACAGAGAGAAAAGATGGTTAGAGCCAAGAGAGATGGCACCTCCATGAGAAGAAGAGGCAAATGGTTCAAAACCTTGATGAGAGAAGGAAAAGATTTGGAACCTGAATGACAGAAGGCAAGAGAGAAGATAGAGATGGCCAGGTTCTTTTAGACCTAGATAAAGGCCTATAGGCTGCACCATCTGCACATCTCTGAGGGGAAGAAGAATGCAACATGGCATGATGGATTTAGAATCAATGGACCTAGGTTCAAATCTCTGCCACATGTTATGTGTGACCTTGATCAAATCATTAACCTCTCTGGGCCTCTGTTCCCTCCTGAATAAAAGTAGAGGTTTAAACGAAACGATCTCTAAGTTTCTTCCAGCTCCAAATCTCTGATCCTGTAATTCTATGGATATAGCAGGGGCCCAAGGAGTAACCCAGACTTATCCTTTTGTGTCTTGAGTCATGGATGGTGAGGTCCTAAAGAAAGATGGGAACTACCAGAGGTGGAGGGTTGATAGATGCCCTCCAGAAAAGGATGGAAAGATTTCCTAAGGATTGAGGAGCTTGGTCACTGAGCCTGTTCTGTGCTTTTTGTCAAGTCAAACGAAAGCTGTCTTGTATTTAATGTTTGTTAGCCTTGAGTGCTCCAAAGGTAACTGAAGGTCTTTGGGTGA